GTTGCAGATGTTGGTGGCGCATATTATTTGTCAAAATTCGGTTAAATTTTGGTTAAATTTTTCCTTTAAGGATCGATTTCCTCCTGCAATAACACTGGGTCAATAAAAGAGGCCCTTTCTAAACCAAAAGTGATAACAGTTAAGAACTGGTAAAAATTAAAAGATATTAAGTTAAAAACGGAATTTAGCTAGACTAGTTAAAGCTGCGCCGTCCATGAAGTTAAGTGCTTTTTTTCATGCGTGCTTGCACGCACTGAAAAACGGAAATCCATATAAAAGTTACTTAATATGAAATAATTAAATAAAAGGACAACATTTAGTTTTGTGCATGATTTAATTTGTATTTGCATGTTGAGGTCATTAGTGCCAATATAAAATTTTTAAAGATTGGGACATTTGCACGTGTGAGAAATGTTCAACAGAAAATCAGCCTAAATTCAGTATAGTGCATGTTATCGTAGTGGCAGTCAGATATATAGTCTTGCACGACAACACAATATATATTACTGTTCGCAAAGCTTGCACTCAGAATACATTAAGCAATCGTATTTATAGTATAACCAAGTGAACGTTATATACAATAGGCGTTGTTCCCCAGAGTAGCATGGCAATCACGGGAAACTTCCCGTCTTGCAACGATTTTAAATCATAAACAAAGCAATTTTGAGGTGGCTCCCTAGGGTTTTATTCCCAGGGGTTACGTTCTTCGTATATATGTAAGCTATCGCGTGTATTGAACTCGTGTGACTTCAAAATACGAACGAAAGTTGTGTAAATGTGTTTTATATGGAACTCTTTTTTGAAACAAATGTGTGAACTTTGCTTCAGTTAAAAGCATAAAAAGAGTTCTAAAATCCACAGCGATACTTGAATGTGATGTTTCAGAAGAAGATAATGTAAAATTTGTTTTTTTCAAGCGGTATTTTGGACGTTTTTGATCGCCGTACGTGAAGGTCGCATTCGCAAACATTGGATATAAAGATTCCTCAAGTATTTGCAGTGTTTTCTGCACAATCTAGCAGCACTTATGACAATAACGATGACTTAAAATGATAGCCTTCTACGAGTGAAATGAGCAGGGCCGAAACTCCACAAACATACCACCGTATAACTGAAATTTGAACGGTCGTTTTGCGAAAATATCGGACGATAGTACTATATAAACTCTCACCGCGGGACGAATTTTGACAAACATTTTCAAATTAATACCAACAATTCATAAACAGGAATTACCTAAATATCTTTGCCAATGTAATAATCAACGCTTAGTTGACCATTGACTGACACAGTAAAACAGTATATCAAAAATAATTTAGATTTTGTAATTTTAAAAATATCATGCCTTGTTGTTTACGAAATGCATGTACACAATTATCATTGTTCTCGTCACAGTTCGTAAAAAAATGCCAAAAGTGAACCTAAATTTCTCCCTTTTCCTTCGGTAAAATTTTTCAAAACTTCGCACATTTCTTAGTATAGGCTCAACAAATGCAATAGCCTTATTTCTTAAAATTCAATCGAAGGGGTATTTTTTAATATTGATTTTTGACGTTTTTTAAATTTTCTAAGAAACATATCGATATAAATTTTTTCTGTGTTGGTGTAGTGTACTCAGGTGAATATGATATTTGTGGTGTTACTCTGAGTGTGTATCCACACCGGGCGAGCTTGAAAAATATGCCCGGCCACGGTGGGATTCGAACCTACGACCTTTGGAAAACTAGCCCAATGCTCTTCCAACTGAGCTGGGACTAGCTAACAGTCGTGGGTCGTGGGTCGTGGGTAGAATGTCGTGGGTCGTGGGTAGAATGTCGTGGGTCGTGGGTAAAAAGTCGTGGGTCGTGGGTAAAAAGTCGTACGTCGTGGGTAAAAAGGCGTGGGTCGTGGGTAAAAAGGCGTGGGTCGTGGGTAAAAAGGAGTGGGTCGTGGGTAAAAAGGCGTGGGTCGTGGGTAAAAAGGCGTGGGTCGTGGGTAAAAAATCGTGGGTCCCGAATAAAAAGTCGTGGGTTCCAAGCAAAATATTTCCATATATTTACCTTTCTCCCTTTGGAATGCGTGTTGTTTTTTCTTCTGAGGCTTTCCCAAACTATGCCCAAATATGCATAGCTTAGAGCGCGTTAAGGCCGGGTTTTTGATATCGGCAGATCGGTTTATGAATATTATAACCAAGTGTGGATGAAACAGTTCAACTTCACGCCCCAAATAGCTCAAATATTTGGACGTTATAATCTTATGGACAGATAAATTAGTTACTGCAATTCGTCAATAAGAATATGGCTCAAGGCCACATGTACGAAAGCTGAGTAGCACTATCCACTCGATATTATAGTCAAATTTTTATAACCGGCAATGGCATCATATGTTTTCAAAGCTATATATGGAACTGCGGAGTATAGCTAACCATTTAATTAATGAAATAATATGACATTTGACTTATATATGGTCTTCATGTATATACTATACAAAGAATTCGAAGATCGCCGGTCTGCAAAATAGTGATGCATCGATATCCATATCGGTAATTTTGTTGTTGATATTACCGACATCGTCGTAAACATTCAAACAACAACAACCAATGTTGCTGTTATTTAAAACTGCTGAAGTCTATCCTAAACGATTTCTGAAATATCGCAAACTACAAACGGAACAAACCTTGCATGTAAACAATGCTACTCGGGCTGTTATTAAATAAGCGCTGTGAAATTTCCAAATTCCAACTTGCCATTGACTTCGCTGAAACTTGATGCTCAAGAAATATGTAGAAGTATACCTCTCTGTTATCAAACCTACGGTAAAATAATCCGACAAAAGCCTACTGAAAGATAAGTCAAAGCATGAATGTTACAAAATACTGTATGTGTCACTATGTGACTGTATATTTGTAACTTATATGTTTGACATTAGAAAATACAAATCACATCATGATAAATTTGACACTAGATTCACTACTTCTTGGTATGTATACATCATGGTATGTATTTAAGTGAAATCTCTCAAATGCTTTCTTTTATTTTTCCCTAGTAAATTAACAGACATTGCATTAAATTAACACTGTCCAAGTGGAAATTTCTCGCTTATTACTGTAAGAACATGGATCAACAAATTAGTGAAGCCCTGAATGTCAGAATTTAGCTATTTATGACAGGCTTGACAGCACTATTTCCTATTGAAGAATTACAATATTTATCTGTCTATAAGATTACAACGTCCAAATATTTGAGCTATATGGGGCTTGAAGTTGAACTGTTTCATCCACACTTGGTTATAATATTTATAAACCGATCTGCCGATATCAAAAACCCGGCCTTAACGCGCTCTAAGCTATGCATATTTGGGCATAGTTTGGGAAAGCCTCAGAAGAAAAAAAAACCCGCATTCCAAAGGGAGAAAGGTAAATATATGGAAATATTTTGCTTGGAACCCACGACTTTTTATTCGGGACCCACGATTTTTTACCCACGACCCACGCCTTTTTACCCACGACCCACGCCTTTTTACCCACGACCCACGCCTTTTTACCCACGACCCACGCCTTTTTACCCACGACCCACGCCTTTTTACCCACGACCCACGCCTTTTTACCCACGACCCACGCCTTTTTACCCACGACCCACGCCTTTTTACCCACGACCCACGCCTTTTTACCCACGACTTACGACTTTTTACCCACGACCCACGACTTTTTACCCACGACCCACGACATTCTACCCACGACCCACGACATTCTACCCACGACCCACGACATTCTACCCACGACCCACGACCCACGACTGTTAGCTAGTCCCACTGAGCTACGCGGTCAGGACGGTTCGAGTAAGTGATATTTCGGAACAGAATCTAGTTCCTTCGATACCAATGTATTTTAGTAATATGAATTTTTTCTGTGTTGGTGTAGTGTACTCAGGTGAATATGATATTTGTGGTGTTACTCTGGGCTAGTTTTCCAAAGGTCGTAGGTTCGAATCCCACCGTGGCCGGGCATATTTTTCAAGCTCGCCCGGTGTGGATATACACTCAGAGTAACACCACAAATATCATATCGATATAATTTTTTAAATTTCAAGAAAAAAAATCATTTATGCAAAGTTTTGAAAAAATTCACGGAAGGGAACTTTTAAAATGGCTGGAAAATGACAAATTTTGAACTTTATTCTAAGCATGCCGTTGCCATGATAACAAGATTTCATGACAAAAGTAGCAAATTTTAATGTTTAGGAGAGCATTGTCAATGTGGCCAACAAATTTCGTCTTCATATCATGTAAAGAGAAGAAACAGGAGTCTCCTGGATACTATAGTGTAGTATGATGCAAAAACCCTGGGGAGCCAGCTTAACACGCGCTGTATACTCCTCCAATAAATGTATGATAATATCAGTTATTTCAGCCAATCTATAACACCACATGACAAAAAAAGAATGCCGTGGGCAACCGATATTGAGTCTCCTTTATGCTGAGGTCATGAGAATTTGTAAATTAATCGATATAAACATGGTTACATTATAACTCCTACGTTTCTAAACAGTTGGAGAAAGACTTGAGGTACGTAGTTGGGGAGAACTCGTGATAAAGTGGTTTCGACTGATTATCATACTCGTTTTCCCAAACCCACTCATGTGTTTCAATCTATATAACTGTACAGAAACACGTAAAATCTTTTCTATTTCTTAAATAGAGACTTAGCTATCAATTATATTAAAAATAAAAGTGCTGATATAAGCTATCATTTATATTAAAAATAAAAGTGCTGATACTTACAAACCATCGTGATAATCGTGATGTTCAATATCCACTCAGTATCTGCGAAATAGAATTTATTCGTTATCTAACTATACAGTGAAAATACTAATGATAACAGTATAAGCGGCTTAATCACCATTAAATATTGACTTAAACCCTCTTTCGATTCTGCTCGACCAACAACGTACATATGTTTCATAAATTAAATAAATAATTTGGGGGGAAACGCATAGATATGTTTAGTAAATAAAACATAGTATAGCCTATATTATAACTGAACGTATTTCACTTATTCTCTCGGCATGCCACTATTAACGTATTGTTGGAGAACAGCTAACTCCTTCCTTTATCGTTGGAGATCCGGATACAAGATGATATGAAGAACAGCTAACATTGTGGCGGCCTATATATGCACTCTGAAAACGCGAGCGTTACGCTTGGGATAAGACAATAATCATATACGCTAGTGCGACGGTATATGCGTTCCTCAATCGTCATGCATACGACAAGATATCTATGGAAGTTGCACATACGTTACACATACGTCAAAACTTCAACATGGCGGTCAACATGTCTGATGCGAGCACTGATGTAAGCACTTGTTATTCAACAAATGATTGCCTAAGTAGTCTGAAAACACTACAAATCGACGACAGTAATGGTAAAGATATAATTATTGATGAGAATAGAAAGCTAAAATGGAAGGAGAACTATGAAGCTCTTAAAGTCTTTGTCAAGAAAACAGTCTAAAACTAAACGGGAAATGGTCGTCACCCGGAGGCAACTTAAAGTTATTTAATGAGACCACAGGATCAATTATAATCAGGTATTACAACAACTCAGTCTGCCTCTCTCTTAATTCAAGGCGAGAAAGGTGAGTCATTTACAAACATTTTGATCAAAAAGCTCTCGACCATGCATCCGAATTCAGAGACAAATATTATCGCCGAGGATAACTCGTGTGAGCCAGAAAAATCGGAAGAGTCACAAAATGTGTACGATGTTTCTATAAGCGAGCAGTCTCAAGATATTTTTGCTTTCGACGAGGGTATATTGACCGGGACAATCAATCAGAAAAATAATAAACACGTCAGCCATACTGACGAAGTAAATTATATAATTGACCATTCACAAACGCCTAATATGGTGCCGCAAACCTTACACAAGAATCAAGAAATGATGACCGAAAATTGTTTGCAAACGATGCCCCAAACCGACGCTGCTAATAGTTCAAATGCAGATCTGTTGAAGTATGTTTGTCGGCTGGAGGCTAGGATGGAGAAATTATTTGATATTATTGCGGGTGATATGCGTGAACTTAGATCGATCATTGATCTATCATTTGAAATTAGATCTTCTCGTACTTTAAATGAAAATCTATCGCTCAAGGAAGAAATCTCACATTTGAATGAAAAAATAAAAAATCAATCATGTTTGATATCCGACTTGGATACTAAGCTAAAAGAACTTAACAATGAACGGAATAGCTTACTAACAGTAATCAGAATACTACAAGTAGAAAATCAAAACTTTCCTCATTATCAGAGACAACAACAAGTAGCTAATTTACATGCCAATATTAACCATCCCCCGCAGAGCCAACAAAGCCAACATGTTGCTCCCTCAGCTCATATTAACAACCTACATCAATCACTTCCAACTCAAACCGATCAAGGAAGCTAGCACCGAGTGGAACTACAGTATGCATATGATAATACGCTTGACCATTATATACCATACGACTCGTATATCAGACGGAACAACAACAACGTCATCACCAAAATTCCTATAACGAGACACATCGGTCACAGCAACAATCATACCAGCCAAAACCAATAGCTTTAAAATGGTTTAAATCGTATCTAAATGATCGTTACCAAGTAGTACAAATTGCATCATCCCTATCCAACCCAGCTCTGATAAAGTCTGGTGTGCCTCAAGGATCTATACTAGGACCAATTCTCTTTTTTATCTTTATTAACGATTTACCCCGTTATGTTGGAAGTTCTAAGCCTTTTTTATTTGCCGATGACTCTACACTAATATCCTCCGGATCGGACCTTCACGAGCTTAGTGTCTCTCTAAAGTCAGATATGACCTCAGTGTCCCGTTCGGACTAACCATAACAAAATGTCTCTTAATCCTGGCAAGACAAAAATAATGAAAATATATTCCCAATCTAAATTCCCTGATCTTAGTCCAATAACCATTGAAGTCAATAACAATAATGTTAAGGAGATTACATCCGCCATTTTACTTGGAGTTACATTAGACCAACATCTGAAATGGGATAAGCAAATTAATACCATCTACAATATAATCAATTCTAGACTTTACCTGCTCAAACGTATACGTAGCTATCTCACTTTTCAATCCCGTATTCAAGGCCTACTCTGGGGCGGTAAATCGCCTTAAATCGCCCTAAATCGCCTAAAATCGCACTAAATCGCGGGTTAAAATTGTCGAATTTCTCCTAAATCGCCTAAAATCGCCTAAAATCGCCTAAGATCGCTTAAAATCGCCAACATGCATTCTGCTGGATACATTCAGTCCATGTACTCAAGTTTATCAATTGCTGCTATTTTACGGGCAAATCATGTAATCCAGGTGCTTTGCAATGAAAGTAATGCAACATGAATTAGCAATCAAATAAGTGGATTAGGCCAATATTTGGTCACTCAATAGGCACCGGTCATTGACAAAAACAGAGCCTTTTCTGATTTATGCAGACTTTACAATAATTAGGTAATTCTGGGATCTGAAAGACCCATAGATCCGATACACTGCAAACAACAAAATTGAGCTAGTTACCAGAATGAGCTAATTTCATTATTGGTGTAAATGGAGGCTGGGCTACAATTTATATGGACTATGGAGGCTGGGCAACAAATTAATCTATAATCTAGCTATATTGCTGTTAAGCCTGGTTCACATGTCTGCGATATGCCTGCGACGTCATTGTTTACAGCTGTTGATGCATTCTTTTGTGAATTATTTGGTTGAACTGCTAAGACAATAGCCCGCCGACACATCGCAGACACATGTGAACCAGGCTTGTTGATTTATATAATAAAGTCATCGTGTAATTTGTGCACTGTTGCATGTAAGATCGAGCACTGCATTGTATACAATGGTTGTACTTCGACATGTGCATGGTTATACTCTAGCTCCTAGTTATAATTATAGTGGCTATCAAACGAAAAATATACGTGAGGTTATGAGCGATTTGCAACTCTCGTCTATTAAATTTTCCAGACCTGTATATACAATAAACAGTAAAACAATGATTACATCTTACATACCATACAATAGATCTTTTGGTGTTGTTTGTTTGCAGAACCTAAAACCACGATGTAGTTTGCCATTTGTTTAACAATTTGGTTTTAATTTTAAAATAATTTAGAATTCCTACCATTTATATACGATATACTTCATGTAATTTAAACATTACGGCATTACTCCGACAGTTTCCGAATACGTGACGACACTGTTTTGGATATGGCACTGGGATATCATATGATGTAGATATCAAAAAAATTATAAATATGTTTGTAGCATGAAGAAAGCACGAGATTGAAACAGTTTAAATAAAATGCAAGCTAAATAAAGAAGTTTTGACATGATACAAAACAAGACAATTTCACTTACAAGGGTGACAAGGTAAATTATGGGATTATAGCCAATTCAGTTATACTGTATAAATACATAATGTATTTTGTGTGTTTCTACTCCCTACCACTTGTGATTTTTTTGGAAATCAAATATTTATTATATTTTGCAATTTTAACTCGATATGTGTAGTGCATGCCCCTGAGTA